AACTCCAATTATACTTCTTAAAGAAAATGTTAAGAATGCCACAATTTACGCCAACTTATATTTTAATGTTAGAGACTGGGCCGGAAGATGGACATACGTTAAAACTGCACCTCAATTACATTTTCAAAACCATGTTTATATATGACGCCGAAAGATTACCCAATCAATTGACCAAAACATTGTTAAATCTTAACCTTTCTTGGGTTCTAAATGAGCTGGGAAATGATTGCGATATAAATTAAAATCAACAAACAGCATTGCGAAGACTTTGGAAGGCAAATAATGAACTGCTGGTGACATTTCTGAAAACTGATTTGAGAGACAAATATATAAGAAAATCTCAACAAACCAACGTAGCGTTAAGTCTTTATAACGTTGGTTCGTTGAGATTTTCTTATATATTAGGAAAGGAATAGAAACATATAGTTGATAAAACATATATTACAAATATCACCTGGATACTCAAAGCAAGAAGTAGCACGATACAGCTAAACGGAAACAGATTTAATGTAGATAGATCTGCGATTTGTAGTATGTGTGATTTAAATGAGACTGAAGATATTGTACATTTTCTTGGCCGTTGTCCAATTCTACAAGAGTTTCGTTTAGCTTACTTTAGTAAAACAATTCTTTCTTATGAAAACGTTATAAATATTTTAAACGGATCTGACATAGAATGGGCAAAAGTAGCAGAAAATGTAAAAAATTGTATAGCATACCGGTCTTATTTAATATCAAAATATAATAATTACTATATATTTTATAGCTCATCTATTATTTATAACGTGTATATATTAGGTTACCATTATACTCACTATTATACAACTATTTGTAATACTACTATTAAACTATAAGTCGACGGACGACATGTGTCACAGTCGCTATTTTGATTATATTTATTTATATCTTAATTTAAAATTCACTAACCATACTGTAAAAATGAAATTTTAAAATAAAAATAAATATACATACATACATACATATATCCATTATCTACTATACGAATAATTTTCACTGCTTAAGTTTGAGTGCTTTAGTTAACAATGGTTTTCTATAACTATTAAATAATTTTTTAATATTGTAATTATTCAGTGTTTAAATGAATAATTAATATTGCTTTAGTTGATGAAATAGAAACTACTTAGAATTTGGAAAGATTGTCTTCTTTCCATGTTGCTTAATTGTTAACTTATTTATTATAAATTTTATAGTTAGTTATTTATTATTTGTAGATTGAACATCACCTATTTATCGTTTTTAAAGCATCATCTAAGTAATTTCTGTGATATAAAAGATGCATAATAATATGTATATAACAATACAGTAGTGGCTCACAAATTAGAACTGTTATAAATTCGAATTGACAGAAATTAGAATCAAAAAACTTTAATACATTGTATGCACTTTCGGTTCTAATTTTTGAGCGAATTCTTCTTTCTGTATTTTTTTTTAATTTTGTATAAATCAGTAAATTGATAAATGTTATTGTTTGTACTTTGTTTTAAAAAAAATAAAGGGGGAAATTCCCAAAATGCGCACATTAATGAAACGCATTTAGAAATGCAGTTTGATAATGATAAGTCAAATAACGTTAAAGATGACGTTTTCAATCCCACACCAATTGAATCGAATCACACTTTATATGTCAAAGTGTTATATCTAAAGTGTTACCTAAAGTGTTATAAATTTTTGTCATTTCTTGATTGAAAAATTCACTCCAGATTTACCAATCAAAAACGAATGAATATAAGGTAATGCATAATACCTAGTGTAAAAAGGTTTCCTATCTCTGTGCCAATTAAATCTTTTTAATAAGTACGTCATACTTTTAGGCATTTAATTATCGAGCAACATTAAAAAAGAAAAAGATTTTAGAAATAAAATAAGCTTTTAATTTCATTTTCAAACTCACTCACACATTTAGAAATGTACATAACTCCTAACGGTTCAATAACTTGTACATAAATTCTTTACATATATTTTTTTCTATAATACAAACTTAAACAATAATATAATGATTATATATTATAAATTTATTATATTTTTAATATAAATTGTATAGTTTTTTCTTTTACATGGTTACCATATCACATAAGCTTAGTAGGGTTTATAAACTGTTCAATAAACAAGTTTATTGGATAAAAAAAACAAACTTCATCGGGAAATAAGTACAGTGCTGCGCAAAAGTTTAAGAACACCTCAAATAAAGAAACCAAAATTAAAATATAACAACTTAAATTTAGTTGTTTATATTATCTATTTCTCATGTGCATTAAAGCTAAAGGATATTATTTTAAAATATAAAGTGGTCTTAAATTGATCTACAGCTGATTTTAACTTTAAATATATTTCGAATTAAGAAATAATAAATTTATAGAACAAAACTTAAATTATAAATTACAACAAAAATTAAATTAAATGTGAAAACCATTTTATTTATTTGTTTTAACAAAGTACACAAAAATATATATAAATTTTTTATATCTTCACTATAATATGTATATTTTATTTTAAAAATATTTAGATGACATGGAAATTAAAATATCTTTAGACGCTACTGCTGTTAAGAAACCAATTATATCTAAATGCGTAATAATTAATATTAGATTGAATTGTTCTTAAGTTAGATTTTAAGCATCAATTTAGATAATAAATAAATTATTTTACATAGCTAAATTGTGTCATTTAATTCATATTTTAAGCGATTTAGTAAATGTGAAATAACTTATTTTGAATATTTATGTTAAGCTGAGGCAACAACTTAACTGGAGCAACGGTGAAATATGCAACGTTGCATTATGCACTGTTAACAGTGTTCCAATTAATTTGTTGCTGAGGTAGCGTTTAGTAAAGCTTCAAACACTACTATTCACCAGTTAGAAATTGCTCAAAGCCAGGCTCTGAGAAGACTTTTCAAAGTTCCTTGGTACATTAAGACGAATGACATTCTCAGGGACCTCAATATTGATCCCATCAAAAAATACATAAAGGATAGAGCCCTGAAATGATTTGCGAAATCTGACAGACTTACTAACACCGCGTTATCAAATCTCAGAATGGTTACAGGCTCCTCGGGGAGGTATGCATTTCTGAGGTCAATTATTGCTTAGTCTGATGAAGTGATAAACGATAATCCAGTCAAGGCGCAAAGGGGGGTTTTGAAGAAACCTCGCAGTTAATAGAGAGTAAAAGTGCTCAGGTGCACTGACTCAACTAGCCTCAACATAATAATTAATGCACAAAAAATTGCATAAAAGAAATTGAAGCAATAAAGAAATTAATCAATTAATTAAATCTATTCTTTGATTCTCATCGAAAACCTAATTCTGCTTTATATACCATAGAGTAAGTTTCAAGTACTTAATCTATAACCAATAATCAATATTCAATAAGTTAAAGTGCTTATTGAATACTATAAGGATTAAGGCTTTTCAAATATATAATTGGAAAAAATTGAGTTATGATTATGAAAACTTATTTAATGGGGACGATATTTTGGGTGTTAATATAAATATATATCTAAATTAGAAAAAAAATTTCAACGAATTGAAACTGACACTTGTAGAAGCTCTTAATAAACGAGTTTTTATTTCATAAAAAACAATCCCATATACAGAGTTTTTCTGAATGTGAATAAAGTAGACAAAAGTTATACGATTATCGAGTATTATAAGTTTTAAAAGTTAATGAGAAGACATTATTAAACAGGATAAACTTTTTCGTATTATTTACATAGAATAAATAAATGTATTGAATGCTTTTATAACTTCTTTTCTGTTAATCTGTAACATTAACAAAATGTATATATTCGGAAATATGATTAACGTAGGCAATTAATAAGTAACACAATAAAAACAAAGTTTATTAAAAATATATATTCTGAGTTATTTGCTAAAAAAACTTTCATATGGGTCATTTTCTTACAAACCGGACGGATTTCGGCAAAAAACTACCTCATCCCCTCCGATTTAGTTGAAATTTTTTTTATAAGCTTCTTTCATAAAATAAGAAGACTCGTATCTCGAGAAAAAATTTTGTAATTTTTTCCCTTAATATATCGATTGTCAAAAGAGTGCCAGAAAAGAAAGTAAGTGTTTCTTTTTTTAGTGGGCAATATAAAATAGTCAGCATTAGTATTTCAATATTTTCATTTAAACTAACAGAGATCAATCTAAGATTGAAATTTTTCTAGTTCAGCACTTTTTATGTTTTTTTATAATAATTGATATGTTTGATCAAGTTTTATTGATAGTCAAATTAATAAATTAGTTACATTTAAAATTTTGTTCACTAACTGTTTTCTGATGCCTATTAGCCCACATCAGAACATTCTGGTTATACACTCAAGGTACAGGTTTCGTGAATACTGTGAATTTGCAGAAATATAAATAATTCCTTCCTAGTAATAACTTTTAATTGTATTACATTAACTAATAAAATAACTAAACGAAATAACTAATTAAAAACTCAATCAAATGCTTTAAATAACTGCGTTGATCATCAACCAATATATATAATATGACACAGTAATGCTAAATAAAATTAATATAATAATTGAAATAAAATAACATTGTATCATTAGATTAAGATTTATTTTCACATCTCTATCACGTATTCTTACTGACGTAAAGCTAGACTTACAAAAAAAACACCATTTTCAGTTTTTCCAAGATTAAATTCCAAATCCTAAAATACAGGAATAATGAATTCTGGTTCTTTTGTTTAGTCCAACGCAAAAATTGAAATTCCAAATATCTAGTATAAGTATTTTTTATATAAGTATTTTTTCAACATTTTCCAGAACTTGAATTAATATGATATTATTTATATAATACTTTATTATTAAGCTTCACTGAGTTTCAAATTTGAGAGAGAAAATTTACCCTATGGCAGCTTTACTTTATAATAGAGTTTCGTATTTTTAGATGGAAATGTTTACTATGTTTTTATATAAAATTGTATTTCTATAAAGATTAATTTAGTTGTTTTAAACACTTTAAGCAAGCAATATCTTATTGGGAAAATAATTATTTTAAACCAAATAATGAAATATTTACCTATTAATTTTCTTTTGATAATAGTTGCATTTGCACTTATTGCCGTAGATGCAAAATTTCGTAAGTGAAATAAAAAATGAACCAGTGAAATTCTTAATAACATTAACATAATTTTAAAGTGAATATTTTTAATATAATTAAAACAAATAAATAAAACTGTATACAGAAAATGTTTGAAGAAGTGCATAAAAATATTTTAAAATAATGTATATATAATTGCTTATAATGAAATTCTGGTTTTTTTATCAGTTTGACATATTTTAAAATTTGCTTATAAGAAACAATTTTGATAAGAATAAAAAATAAATAATTGAAAGAAATATTTCAGATTAAATTTAAAAATAATACAAAGATTTATTACTCCAATATCTTACAATAATAACGTTAATTAGATTGCAGAGCTAAATGGATTAGGATACTACACAGTATTGGATCTTAAACGATTTATAATTAAACATTTATTTATTACTAAATAAAAATCTGTCAATAAGAATACAATATTGACTTTTGTAAGCACAGCGAAGATTGCCAAATTAATTAGAATTAGGAACCGAAGTGAAGCAACTCCAAACTCCAATCTGAGATGAAATACTTTATCAAAAACGTGACATGATCAGAAAATATCTTTTGTAAATAGGAACCTTTAAAAAAAATTGGTTTCCTTTTTTAATTTTTTAATTTTATTTTTAGTTCAACCATTAGTTTTAAAATACGCCACTTTTGACGAAAAATCTAAAATCTAGTTTTGTACATAGTGTTACGATTTTCAATACAATTATGCAGTTAATATATAGTAATTAAAGATTACTATATAGATCATGATGTATTTTATTTTAACGAAAAACTAAAATTGTATATTTTTAGTCTATATTTTCACACTTAAGACCCTTGGCGCGAACGGAATAATGATTTTAATCTTTCTGTTTATCAGCATGCAATTATTCTCTATTAAAACTTGATACTTGAAAATCCCTTTCTTTTCAATGCACCCTAATATGCACTCGATTAAAAATAATAAACACATTTAGCATAGTAGTAGAATTAATTATTTCTTTTCATATTTTCCATATATGTCGTATATTTTATCTATATATTTTTTCTGTTTTCATATCAATTTAACTATCGGAAGTAAGTTCTTCTATTTAAAGGACATATCTGTATTATATATAAATAACTTACAACTAATCAACTGAGAAGTACATTAAAAGTTATATTGCGGTATTTATCAAAAAAAAATTAATAATGGAATGGCTATATACAAAAAATTGATGTTATAGATGTTTTATTGAAATAAATTTTGTAATTTTGAATAAACTAACCATTTTATAACAATATGTGTTAAAAACAACCGGTTCAATGTAGATTGTTCTCTTCGTGTTCTCTTGGTTTATATAGAGATTTTACTGTATATCAAAAAAAAAAAACATTATATTGAATTATTTACAAGTAGCAATTATTTTATATATATTTTTAAATATTGTATCAATATATCAATTTTATTTACGTAACGATTTGTTAATTATATATATATCATTTTCATTTATAGCTGATGATCCCCAACCTTGCAAATTTGGTGACTCTAATTGTATTATACAATCTTTTAATTACTATTTAGCAGAGCAGTCTAATGGTAAAAACTAAAATATTTATACATATTTCAGTAACAGTTTCTAAGAAAATGTTTTTCTGTAATAATAGGCGACAGCTCTATTGCATTGGTAAATATCAATCCTTTAAAAATAAAAAAGATTATTATAGAACAACACGGCGAAAGTCCTGTGAATATTAAATTAACATTTTTAAATAATTATTTGTATGGCTTAAATACAACACGTGCTTACAAATCACGTAAGTCAAAAAATAATAAAATAATAAATAAAATTTTTATTCTATTAAATGAAATTTCTTCAAATAAAAAATTTTTTTATTTACATTTTAGTAATTTTTTTATACATTTTATTTCATATACTTTATTTCATATAAATTTTTCTGTTTCACTATAGAGGATTTGGTAAAGACTTAACTAAGAAAATCGAAATCCGTTTGAAATCAGATATACTTATGATGATTGGTGACTACGAAGTCGATGGTAAAATTTTAGTATTACCCATAACCGGAAAGGGCAAAAGTAACTTAACTCTAAGTTAGTATTTTCTTCAATTTGCCATAGTATAAAATATAAAATATCTCTTTCTCTATTGCAGTTGATAATGATTGCATAATGCAATTTAGTGGTACTCCTTATCGAAAGAATGGTGACACTTATATGAAGGTTAATAACATGAAATTACGTTTTAAACCCAAACAGTTGTATAGTGATTTCACCAACCTCTTTAACGGGGATAAGGAGTTAGGGGACAATATGAATCTGTTTTTAAATGAAAACTGGAAGGCAATATTTGATGAATTGCACGATAAGATTGCTGAAGCGTTTGCTAGAATTTATGAGAGTGTTATAACAAATGTTTTTACAAAATATCCATATGAAAAATATTTTATAGAGTAATTCATAATATATTTTCAGTAGTATGACATTATTTATTATAAGAAATTCTATACTTAATATAAAAAAAATAATAAATAATAGTTTCAATTTGCATTGTTTTTTAAAATAATTAATAATTAATTGCTATCATTACTATTTGACACAAGTGAAACAAATAAAAGTAATGCATTTTTCTTATGACATTGCATATAATTAGATATATAATTATTATTTCAACTATTGCTAATTATTACTTAATTGAACTAACATACAGAAGTTAAAGAGTTAATTGTTTTGAGTTGACATACTAATTGTTATCATATATGTACATATATATTTCACACAGTATATATAAGTGGTTTATTGAAAGCACATACAAAGTAAAAATGCGATATTCACATTGTTAATTATATAAATTTATAATTTAAATTTTATAAATAGATTAAATATTGAAAAATTTAATGACAAATGACTTTTTACATTATTGGAAAATAAACCACTAAATTTTTTTACACACAGTATACATTCTTTTACAAGGCTTCGTAAGGTGTGAAGCTCCAATACTTATAGTTTAAGAGTAATACATACAAAACAAGCTGAGAGTATTTGTTAACCGCTGTCTCCGCAGAATTTTGCGTATTTTCTGGCCAAACAGAATATTAAATCAAGACCTTTGGACTAGAACAAATGTTAGGGATGTCAACCTTGAAATTCGTAAAAGAAAATTTGGATGGATCGGCCATACACTTCGAAATTTGTCAACAGGCGCTGGTATACAACCCGCAAGGTAGTAGAGGGAGAGGCCGTCCAAAAACAACATGGAGAAGTTCAACGTTGATTTAAATAAACACCATTTTGCAGCCTCTAGGAAAAAGAATAAACAACATTACAGATATAAAGGACGTAGCGTTGCAGCACGAAAGGTGGAAGTGACTTATAGACAGCCTATGCCCAGTATAAGAGGTTGCTCGAAATCATAGACGTCAAGCACGGTTTATTATTATTATTATACACTCAATAAACTGAATACTTAATAGTTCGGATACCTAGGTAATTTGGATACCGTACCTTTGTTAACTGTAATCCTTATAATCTAATATATGTGCGGCCCGCGACGTGTTTCTAATCTACCACAAAGACGCAAATTTTCCTTTGATATATATTTCGATGAAATTACATTATTTATTTATTCAAAGTTTACATTATTTTATTTTTACAGTTTCCCAAAAAAATTAATTCCAATGTGTAATTAATAAAACTAAATTTGACATTAGAACCGTATTTTTATATTTTATATGGACATATGTACTTGTTTCTGCGGCCCTGCAATCTGCACTATGACTTTTATTAAGCCGCTATCGTATCTGGTTTGGACAGCATTGATCTAAATAAATCAATAATTATTTTACACTATTTTCCTTTTTTTTGTTTCAGTAGGTGAAAAGCATCTAAAATGACCATGTGAGATTTTAACTCAATAAAACCACCTTTGGGAATATTTTGCAGAAAGAATCACAGCACTCAGGCCAAGAAGATACATTGTACTGTGACTATTTTCTTTAATATTATTTTTGCTATTCATATTCTGATATAATTAGGTTAGGTTAGGTCATGCTGGCAGATCAAAAAGAACACGCATAGACCATTGCGATAACAGACCAGAATTATTTTTAGCGATATAAGACTTTTTTAGCGATAGTGTGCATCGCTTAGGATGCGCGTGTTATTAGCGAATTTTTAGGATTTCAACAGAAACCTCAGCTATGTGCTCCAGTCTGATAAAACTGACAGCCCACAAGTATTTTTGTCGAGTTCTCGGGAGAACCGGCCAGTTACACAGCAGATGCTTCAGAGTTTCCTTTGCATCCGGCTCGTGGTCATGTGTTCGTCCAGAAGTATTTGTATGTATTTGTTTCAGAGGTCTGAGTACTTCGGTCGTTTATTCCTCTGAAAATTATGCGCAATTTTTAGCAACTGTTTTAGCATCAACTGTCTCATTACCCTTTATGTCTGTATGACCAGGAGTCCAGTACATACAAAGTCTGCGTTTGCAGGCTAGTAAATTCTTAAAAATTTAAAGAAAAATTTTTTCTTTTACTATAAGATGTAGCGTACAATACAATGCCAGTTGTTAACAAACAAATTAATTGAAATATAATTACATTAAAGTAAACAACAATCTTACAATACTTTTTAAATAAAATTGAAAATTGCTTTCTTGGAGCACACTTTAATGCAGTGATTCTTAAATATTTTAAATATTTATGGGATTAAATTAAAAAAAAAAAACTTACAATAAAAAAGACGCCAATAAATATGCTGCGAAAATTTCTTTCATTGTTTTGTTAACAACGACTTCCAGTTTGTAAAGAGACACAAGGAGGGGGCATTTTCCGGGATTTAAAAAAAAAATAATGTTAACCATATAAATAAAATTATTCAAAATAAATGAAAATAATAACATAAAATTTGTTTTTAATAATAATAATTTCATAATAATGTAAAATTTTGTAACATAATGTGAAGAATGTCTTTTGTTTTCTATTCGAATCCTCCGAATTTTAAAATAGATTTTTTTTTAATAATGAAGTTTATTAAAGTTCTTCACAATTTTCAAACCTATTATGTATTTTGTAATTATCAATCGTTTAAAATTTACTATTTATCAAATACGTTATTTTATTCAAAAATGTCAAAAAAGGCTGCTTAAATTTTGAACTTTTAACAAAAATGTTTTTATACCATATATGTTTATTTTTTTTATTAATATATATATCAAATATTAAATTTTTCAAATTAATTCAGGGTTAATTTATAATGTATAAACTGTTTTACTAACACGTAATGTTAAGATGTAAGTAATAATCTAAACATTAGATTAAATTTTTTTATTAACATAACGCTTCAATAAACAAATAACATTAATCAATTTTTAATTGGATGCTGCTCTATTTGACACATAAAATCTACCGTTTCGATGCTTTTTTAGTATCAATGCATTTTTTAATTCATTTACCATTGCTGAACATTATTTTATTACTCATTGTTTTTTATCTAAGCTACGCATGATTTTAGTATCCACATTTGCAATTAAATTCTTTACACAGAGTAAGTATGAATGAAACTTGAACTTGAAATTGTTGCAAAACTTGATTTAAATTGATTTGATATTGTATTTAATGAACTTATAGTTTACGGTTCATTTTATACAGATTTTGAATTTTAAACCTGAAGGTAATCAAGTGCAATTTAATTCTACTATATATGTATCTTGAACACACATAGGAATTAAATTAAGTAAAACTTCACTGTTATAGCGTGTATAATTGTCTCATTTATAAACTGTTTATTAATTAAGAATGTAAATTTATCTATAATTATAGACAACTATTTTTAATATAAACGAAGTAAACATATAACTAAATATATAGGTTAATATATGATATTTTAATCATTTTGTATTTATAATATAAATTTAATAAATATACACTTATAAACAATAAAATTGAGGCAAAGTTTATTCTATGTACTCATATTATAAGCATTGCAAGCTTTGAATTATAAAAATCAATCAATTACACACACCAGGCCAAATATATATATAAATAATCTAATAAATAAGGTATAAAATTACAAATTCAAAACTAAAGTATATACTCATATTATAAACATTACAAGCTTTGAATTATAAAAATCAATCAATTACACACACCATGCCAAGTATATATATAAATAATCTAATTAAAAAGGTATAAAATTAGAAATTCAAAACCAAAGTTTGCTGTAACGATTTTGCGAACTACTATGTATTCCTAATAAATAATTAGCTGCTCTATTTTTCCTTTTTTTTTTAACTATCAGGTAAATTATGTATTAATTAATGAAGTCATCGGCTTTTATTAGTATTAATAATTGATTTCTATTTGAATATATTACCACGTTTTTCTCTTTAGAAACAACGTTCGAATTAATCATTTAACTAACTTAATTAATCATTTAAATTTAATTGAATGTAAAGTCAAAAATATTATTACTACGGTAATTGGTGCAGTTTACTTCTATATAAAAGACTTAACAATAGACCATTACTTTGCATAGTAGGTTTGATTTCTGCAAGAAATCAGATCTCTTACTGATTATTCTATATCTTCAAATCGTTTGGAAATTCAAATATCGCTTAGGTGTAAAACACTTACATTATAATGACCCAATATGCAGTTATGATTTTATAAGCTATTACACACTATATATATGCACTGCTATAATATATTATTTCTTTTTAAGTATTCGTTTCTAGAGGACCCATATAAACTTGCATAGAGGTTTTATTATAAATATTATTAAAAAATCAAGGACTTTATACATAATTGCTGCTATTGTCAATCGTATTGTTAAAAACTTTTTTGCAATTTTCTATTTTTGTTATCATAGAAAACCTCTATTTTTGATCTGAAATTTGAAATAAAATTGTGTCTATATTGTGAACCGGACTATAACAAATATAAGTGCCAAATTTAATTCAAAAACGTCAAAATAATACAGACCTTATTAGGAAAGAGTACACAATCCAACACACAATAGCATATTTTTATATATTGTGTATAGATGATGAATATTTATAAAAATATATTCAATATAAAATCAATTATAGAACCTACTATTATTCCATAATTAGATATATTTTAACAGAAACGCCTTTCGTCTTTGATTATTTGTACTTGTTTTTTTTTAATGCGTACGTTATTTAATTAATTACTTGTTGATATAATTTATTTCGGTATAAAAGCGTTTATACGCGATTAATTTGATTCATTTAGTCTACATCCGACAAAGAAATTCAAATTAATCATATTTCTTAACTTCATTTTGTTTAATGTGTCTAAAATATAAAGTATTGCTCTATTCCATTACTTTTGGATTATTATTAAGTTTAGTTTCTGCTGAATTCCGTAAGTGTTACTAAATGTTAATTAATTTATTAATTAAATATTATATAAATTGTAATTAATTGAATATAATGGATTTATCAAG